ATGAGTTTGTATAAAGTTTACTTTGGTCTTAAATAATGATGATGATAATTGATCTCTCAGGACTTTAAGTTATAATCTTAATGTACAACATATTAAGAAATGTTTTTTGTACATTTAGCTGTATTAGATAAGTTCACAAAGTCGTGGAGAATAGTCAATGGTTATTTGTTAATTCTGTAAACATTTTCAGTGTTTGTTTGAATAGGCTTTTGTGCAGAGTAAATAATATATATGTATAATATATTATAATGCAGATTCCTAATTACAAACCTTTATTACTCATGATAAGTTACATTTAATTGATAACATTTACTTGATTCCCTTGCAAATACAGTATTTTCCCAAACATGTTATGCTCTAGTTTGTGAATTAAATGTTAATGTACACCACAATGGCACAATTCAGTCACAATTTTTTATAATACCAAGTTACCATTTACAGTCCATAGAATAAATAAACTGTTAACGTTAATGTCTGGGAATGAAGTTTCATTTGTTTTATGTCAATTATAAACGTCCACTCTTTTTGCACCTTATACAAAGCTCGTTTGACATGTTTATTTTACATTTTTGCATTTAGTCATCCAAAGTCATTTACAAAAGAGAAAACAAAAGCAGTTTGTCAAGGAGCCAACAAAATGTATAATATACAATGGCAGGTTTATTTGACTAGATTAGGAGTTCATTCATGGAGAACTGGCTCATCAGCACCAGCAGCCTTATTATTTACTTCATATTTTTTCTGTTGTTTGCTTATTTTTTGTTGATGAAATATATTAAACTTTACATTATTCTTAAACTTAAATGTGTTTCTCTTTATTTCACATAAATAAAAGGGAAACGTCTGGGGAGATATAATGTGTATTTGGAGTCAGCACAGCTGTTTTGAACACTGATGTACTCGAGTCACTAGCAGGCATCTTAACTAAATAGTAAGACTTCCTTGATCAGCTGTCTTTGCCAGAAAGTTCATGTTGGTCCACCAGTTGTACCAAAACTAAAGCAACACAAACCAGCCTGGACTTTGCAAGGAAGCTTTCACTTCATCAGGGAGAGGCAATATAATGATATAGGCAATAAAATGCCTGTTCTTTAATTATGAGGCAATTGAGGTAAATAAAATCAAATAATGAAGCACATTGTTGCTGGTGCACTCTTAGAAAAAAAAAGCTGTCATTGGGGTGGTAATTTTTAATAAATTTGTCCTCCCCCTCCCCCTAAAAAACTAAAAAAGTACATATTGCTACCTAATGTATACATATCTGTACCTAAATCATACATATTGGTACATTTTAAAAGGCTACTGGCCCAGTGACAGCTTTTGTACCTTTTTCTGAGTGTGTAATAGCTGAAATTAATGAAATGCTGCAAAAACAAAATGTCCTGGTACAGGAAACACCTGTGATATAGGTACTGTGTCTTTAAACACCAGTCAGTCACCATAAAAGTGTTCAAACTTCACTATCAACACTTTAAACCCTCCCTCAGATAAGACTCGGTCTCAAATCAGAGCGGTGCACTCAGCGTCTACTTTATTGCCGTAATCACCTGTGTTCTTTGAGGTAAGACTTCTGTTTGTTTTTCAGAGATGTGCTTGAATACTCGCTGGGTTTTAGAAATAATTTCACTAACTACATAAAATGTGTATGATGTTCACTTATGCTAGTAGAATATCACCGACATGTGACTGGGCTTGTATAAATATATTGATCTGTAGGCTTTTTGATAGTGCTAAAGGCGTGATTTGTTTTCGACAGCTTAAACGTTTCTATATTAGCAAGAGTTTCTTCTGTTTTGTGATTTTGTGATTCCTTTGTTGGATGGAAAGGGCAGGTGTTGTCTAAAACACATTGCTGGCATTAAGTGAAAATAAGAAAAACCTACATTGCAGCTGTTGCTTTATGGTGTCAGTAGAAGTGGTTCTTGATGGGTGTTGAAGGGGTGCGTGTAACACAAAAGCATCGCCCTCCTGATCTGCTCTAACATATAGGCCTACAGCAAGGTGTTCACTAAACTTTACAGAGCCTGGGACAACATTTTAGCCCACTTGGGCCCATTGAGTAAGCTATCCTATATAGATGACCTTTGGTGGCCCTCGGGGTGTATGTTTTAGCATAGAGATACATTTGAACAAAATACTGTACAATAAAAATTTGCCTCTTAGGTGTTTTAGGCATGAAAGACTATCATATTTGATGATTATATCAAGCTTTTGCCCGTCCAGTCTGCTATATGATGATGCTTGAGTTAGAGTCGGATAGGCCTACTGAAAACCTCACAATGAATTCAATATTATATGTATATTAATGATTATAGACTAATTCAATCTGTCATCACCAAATATAATTTATTTACTTACTGACAGAGTTGCTGCTGAATTGGGAATTTCTTCATTGCCATGGAGAGGAGTGATGATTCATATATAGTATTTAAGTATGTATACCTGCTCTCAATGCTCTTTTGTGAAATTGAACACACACATGCAGAGTTCCGAAACCATACAAATGTACATTATTTTCTGTGTGTGTGGGCGTATGTATGCACACACACACACACAATAATGTACATTTAGTAAACTATCCCCCGGTTTCACAGACATGGCTTAAGGCTAGTCCCAGACTAAAATGCATGTTTGAGCTGTCTCAACTGAAAATATCTTGCTCTGACATATCTTAAAATATGTCAGTTCCATTGTCTCAAGATGCACACATGTAATGTTTTCTTCTAAGGCATTTTTATAAAAGCTGCTTAAATATCTTAATTTAACACACCTATAATGTTTTCTTCTAAACCATTTTTGTAAAAGTTGCTTAAATATCTTAATTTAATTAAGGCCTAGTCCTGGCTTAAGCTAAGCCCCGTCTGTGAAACCGGGTCAATATGTTGTGGTATATTAGCCTCACATTAAATTACAATTTACAATATAGTAAAAGCTGATGTAAATTGTATTTTCCCACTTTTGGAAAGTTGTGAAAATGCAATAGCTTTTTTTTTTTTTAGATCATAAAATGTAAAAATAATATTTTCTTTTATGCTCTTACAGTATCTCACAGAAGTGAGTACACCCCTCACCCAAAAATGTGAGGGTGTGTACTCACTTCTGTGAGATACTGTATGTATCTGTAGGTTATTTCTGCATTCTGAACATTTGGAAATGTCCATTCAGTTTCTATCTTCTCTTTATCTGTACCATATATAAATGGTTTATGTTCTTTATCATCACTAACAACTCACAATCACATCAGCACACGTGCTCACACTCATGCAGTATCTTAACACCGCGCAACCGTTGTTTTTTCAGAATCTTCGTACCTATTGTAACCTTTGGGTTTTTGTCAATCTGCTGTGCTGGCTTCTGTAAAATATTCCAGCGGGTTCGTAAGGAGCGCGTGGAGCGTCTGCAGGCTCAAGCTCGAGCCGTGGATCAACGGTCCGTCTACGTCATTCCAATCTCACTGTCTGAAGATGAGCTGCACAGACCACCGCGCTACAGCACTGTACAGTTCTACGAGCCGCCTCCTGCTTATCACGAGGTAACCCTGAAGATAGTGTGGAATGTACTCTAAAAACAATTCAGTGGCTTTGTAAATATCACAGTAATAACTAAGTTCATTATTATTAATAAGTTCACCCCAAAAAATTTAAAGTCTGTCATCATTTACTCACCCTCATGTTATTCCAAACCTGTATGGGTATCATTCTTCTGTTGAAGACACACACACACACAAGATATTTTAAATAATAACTGTCTGACTTTCATAAAATGGAAAAAATACTATCAAAGTCAATTGGGACCATTTACAAAATATCTTCTTTTGTGCTCAGCAGAAGAAACACATACAGGTATGGAACAACTTGAGGGCGAGTAAATGATTACAGAACTTTAGTTTCCTAGATTGTTTTGAGTTGGAAATACCAAATACCAATGCCTAAAATTAGTTTTTGACTTTTTTTATATAAACAACTAAACTAACTAAATATACAACTAACTAAAATATACAACTAAGCATATTTTTAAGATAAACTTCATATTTTTGTTAAATTCAATCAAAATATTAGAGAAAAATTATAGCCTACCGACCAGTTTCAAGAACCACAATTATTACTCATTTCAATATTTTTCAGCTTTAACAACAACTTAATGTATGTGTGCTATTGCTTGATAACAATTGTACATTTTTTAAAAGCTACGTTTTTTATGTATTCAAATGAAATAACTTTGCTTTACTCATAAATATTGGTTTTAAATTGGCTTACTCAAATGTGTGAGTCAAATTCACTTATTGGGTCTTATAGTGTCCTCAATTTTATTTGTTATGGTACCAAAAGTAATTATTCTTATCTACTTCATTTTTTCACTCGCATTTATTCAGTTCATAAGGTATATCGATTCATTGATTTCACATCTTTAAAATGTACTCAATATGTTAAAGTGTAAAATGTTTCACCCCAAAAAAAAATAAATAATAATAAATCAGTACATTAACTTTAAGTTGTCTACACCATCATTTATTGTATCTTGTCCTGAAATGTTTAAATGAGCTTTTTGTCCTCACTGTTAATGATGACGCATCATTAATTCCTGCTTTTGCAGTTAAATCTGAAGCCCGAGGCCTGTCCTGTGGAACCCCCTCCTGCATATTCAGAATCTGTCTCTCCTTCACCCTCACATTCATGATCACACCAAACATAAGCGCATCTCAAGCACTTGGACTGGTTAAAGGAAAAATAAGTGGCAACGTCATATTCTCATGACTTTTCCAAGGACTACTACTCATGCTTCCTATGCAAAGGTTTAAATGGTGAGAAAGAAAATGTCACAGTTATAGTAATCTGTGATTCTGTTGGGATTTTGAGCATGTTCTACAGGGCCACAAAGAAAGACTGTTTTGCACAATGAGCGGCAGAACTTGGTTAAAGGTTTATAAGTGTATATATATATATATATATATATATATATATATATGTTTTGTTTTGTGAATATTTATACATTTTGTACATGCAATAGCTTTTTTGTTAACTTGTGAAAAACAGGTTGACCTGTTGTAAATAGTATAGCTGAAAATGTATGATAAAAATAATGTATAAACACTGGCTCTTAATAATATCCTTAGAGTATGTTAAAAGTTAACGAGAGATAATAAATGATATGTAGTATAAGCCATCTTTCTGACTGTCTGGAAGCTCACTCTTCATGTTCAACATGCCACCTGAGCTGCACCCTCAGAAGCCAAAGTCCAGCACTGTTACAACAGAGGAGGTGAAGCTCCGCCTCCTGCATTACCACTGCCACTGTCCTCATGGTCCTACACAGATATAAGCCAATGCATTTATTATTACTCATAAAATGCGAACCATCACATTTAGAATTCACAGCTTTGGCTGTTCAGAAGGTCCATTGACAGTTACATACACACACAGTCACATAAGTGCAATTTTGTTAGTAAACAGAATATGTAAAAAATAAAATCTACCTCTTCAAATGCTTTAATGTCAGCCAAGGTTATATAATTGCATAGTCACATTGCTTACAGTTTCTCTCTTTGTCAGTCCATTTATTGATTTGTTATTAATGTAATATTAAACATTTGTTTAATTAATTGATTTATTATTAAATATTTACCACCAAATTAAATAATGTCAATTCATTCATTTACATGAGCTACTTTTAATTCAGAAAGAATATCTTATGATTTAAGAAAATACAGAATGATGATAATCAAACTTCAGAACATTTCAGATTGTGGCATGTTTTATATTATATCCAAATTCAAGCGGCTTGAGAGTTCTAGATTAGAAAACATACGTAGCCCATTTTTACTATCATCTTCATTTCGCATGCTTCACAATCTATGGAAAGACAGAAGTGTAAAAAATAAGCTTTTACTGTGTCTGGGTTGTAAGTGCAATGGAATTATGGTTGCAATGGAATGTTTACCAGTACAAAGGTCTACATTAGAATTGTACTGGTACATCAAATCTTACGTAGACTGTTGTCCATGTACTTCATGTCTTACGTAGACTGTTGTCCTTGTACATCACGTCTTAAGTGGAAAAAAAACATAAAACACGCCCATGTCATCATATCATCACATGACTAAGATATTCTCAGAAATGACACCAATAATCTGCCATAAAGTATGGAATCATCCACTTCCACTACATGACCTACAGAAACATAAAAAAGCTAGCTTTGCTTGTAGTTTACTGGATAAAATATGTTTTAGATGAAAAAGTGAATAAAGTATTGAATATACAAAAGGAAGACTGTGGGTACAGTGAGGCAACTTCATGCATGGCCTCTCACTGTTTTCTCAGAGCCACTGGGTCAATAAAAGTAAATGCCTGAAAATATCAAGTTCAACTTGACCTACTGCAGAGAATGACCTGCTTTCAGACTATAAATTATTTCCTCTTAATAAATAGTTTGGCCATTTTTACAGGTTACCTAAGAAGTTGCCTCTTTATCGGAATCCGTCCTGTATTCATAAATAACTGCTGGTAGCAAATAAGGAGGTGCATAAATACACATTTAATTTGCATAAGTGAGTTCAAGGGAGATGTTTTTTTTAGAGACTATACAGGTTAGTTAACCCCCCCCAGAGAAACACTATGGAACTCAGTAGCTACTGCCAACTGTTTGGTTACCAACATTCTTCAAAATATCTTCTTTTGTGCTCAAGAGAAGAAAGAAACTCATACAGGTTTGGAATGACATGAGAGTGATTAAATTATGACATTTCATTATCCCCTTAGGTGAGAGGATTTAAAGTTGTTGTTTTTTTATGAAACGCACATAACCGGATAGTTCGGTTCCTGGTATCTGACTGGCCAAGAAACACCTATTTATCATATCACTGCGCACGTGTTCCATAGAGCAGCGGTGGCGAACTCCGGTCCTGGAGAGCCGCGGCCCTGCAGAGTACAGCTAATTAAAACTCACCTGACTGTAGCTTTCTAGTAACCCTTCAGACCTTGATTAGCTTGTTCAGGTGTGTTTGAGTAGGGTTGAAGCAAAACTCTGCAGGGCTGCGGCTCTCCAGGACTGACGTTCGCCACCCCTGGCATAGAGTATCATTGTGGCATGACAACGCACTATATTTTCTAGCGGAAGGATGTAATTGAACGAATTTAGCTATTAAAATACGTTTGAATGAAAACTTGTGTCCTTAGTATTTATTAATATTTCGTTTTATAATGTTTTATAAAAATGCACTCTAGGTTATGCTGTATTATTATTATATTCATGGTTAAAGAAGTTGCAGCTACTGTAATGAGGCGTACAAAGTAGGCTACGGTATTCACAATATAGCGTGGTCTCTCGTACCTTGTTTCTTAAATCAAATGGAAAAACAAGACGTTCCCTCCAAATAAACAAGCATTTACTACAGATTTGTTTATGGTCTCTAAACAATACAATTTTATTGACATGAAAATACCGCAACTTGTTGTAGGTCGGAAAGTGAATTAAAGTGAAGCTATCGTGTTGCTCTATATACCACACTCTCGACGACATACAGGCATACAGCAGGGTCCCTCAAATCTTGCCCTGGAGGCCCATTGTGCTGCAGAGTTTAGCTCCAACCCTGATCAAACTCCCCTAACTGTGATTTTCTAATGATCCTGAAGACATTGATTAGCTTGCTCAGGTGTGTTTGATTAGGGTTAGAGCTAAACTCTGCAGGAAAGTGGATATCGTGGGCCAGATCTGAGGATCCCTGGCATACAGCCTCTGAAGTGATATATTTGTATATATTTGGGACAAACTCTCCCCTCTGCTGGTGAAACCGGTTAAATAATGTGCTCAGGAGAAAAGTAGGCTGGACGACGTGACTGTGTGGACAATTTGTGAGCTAACCTGAATTTAAGCTGATAAATCAGTGCATATCTTTGTTTCCCTTTCACAGACAGAAAAACACAATATATCATAGAACAATAGCAGTTAATTCTATGTATACTTTTTAATTTAATTCAGAAATTTCATATTCAAATCTTAAATTTTAAAAATGACAGATTTATATGGATGTGTATGGGTGCTACTTTAGTTACATTCATAGTTAACAAAATTAGCAACCAGTGACAGAAGTCCAAAACTACAGGCACTTGCCACACAAATGCCACAACGCCACTAACAAAGCAATCTATAGTCCTTGACTAGGTCACATTTAGGTTTTAAATAAACGATTTCCTCTGTAATTTGCTGGAGATATCTATCCCATTCATTGAGAATGAAGTCCGGTTCTTGTCTGTGTGGAATCAGTGTAAATCTGGACAGTAATTCATCAGCAATACAGATATTGAAGCCAAAAGGTGTATAAAATGCTGTCAGTATTTTTTTCTGACTTTGATTATTACAGTCTTTCAATTAATGATTCATTTATTTTCCCAAACATTTTATTTCAGAAATCAGGCAATTTACAGATTGTTTTTCGAATCATACACTGATTTTGCACATGAAACACGACTACTATACAGTATCTGCCTCTAGCTTATTCCATTATCTGATATGTAGAAAATGTAATATCAATATCAAAACTTAAATCATAACACCTTACACATAGATATAAATTATAAAAAAAAAACACATAAATAAACAATAGCTGCCAGTATTCAAGCCAAATATCATTGGCATGAATGATAATCAGTGAATATAAATTGGCACTTGAAGAATGTTCAAATCGTAATAAAAAAGTAGAGAGGGTTTGTCTTTAAGAAAAAGAGATATTTTCATCCAATAAGCATATACAGCATTAGAATAAATACGTCATGATTTTTGCTGCGAATAAGATCAGATACACAGATACACCACATTTTACACCAACAGCATCTTCAAAAATATTTATATAAAGATCTTAATGTCATGCTCTAGCACTGTTCTTCCCTTCAATTCACAGGTTCTTTTCCAATTAAAGTGTAAAAATGATGTTTGGTTCTTTCAAACTTGTTTACAATAAAATAAAATAAAAAGAATTTTGGCACATGTAGGATATGTAAATACAGTTCACAATGTTTGATATGGTGATCTGTGAAAAGAAACCATGTGAAATCAATATATGCTGCATTTAGTGACACCTTCTGCACAGTATATTGTGTGCAAAATATTATCTGTCCGCTGTTTCTGTTACTCATACCTCTTTCAGTGTGCTTTCAGTCTTAATATGATCACGTTTCAATATATTCCTGCGCTACATTCAGAAAAAAATTGTGCTGTAATGTGAATGTATATGAAAAAACTGTACAAAAGTCATGTGCCTGACACAACAACAGGAGCTGAGCAAAATAGAGCCTTATAATACAAATATAATTCAGGGATGAAACACTGTCCAATCATCTACCACCCATGCAAACAGAATTAATGTAGGCCTGTAGTAAACTGTCAACTATAAATCAAAACTATTTTTTTTAAAACATAACTTGTTCAATTTACTTGAGAAGCAAATCTGCATAAGATTTGTTTTTAGAGAATTCATACTATCCTTCAAAAGTTTGGGATCGACAGATTTTTGAAGTCTCTTATGCACATCAAGGCTGCATTTATTCGATAAACAATACAGTAACAGTTGTGAAATATTATTACAATATAAAATGTTTTTAAAAATGTTATTTTAAAATGTAATTTATTATTGTGATATTAAGGTTGAATTTTCAGCAGTGTCAGTGTCAGAAACATTTCTTATTATCATCAGTGTTGAAAACAGTTGCGCTGCTTAAATGTTTTTGTGGAAATTGTGATATATTTTTTCAGGCTTTAGAATTTATTTTAAGCGTTCTATTAAAAGCATTTTAAAAATAATTATATTTAAAGCTTTTATTTTAAACAGAAATATTTTGTTACATTATAAATGTCTTTACTGTCACTTTTTAATCAACTAATCAAGTATTCATTTCTTAAAATATTACTGATCCCAAACTTTTGAACAGTTAAGTATATATTGACTTTTAACTTTGTTAAATTGTTTTTTGTTTGTTTTTTACCCTAAATCTAACAACAGTTTGAAAAGTTTACATTTAAATAAACAACTACAAAAAAACAATTTACCAATAGTAATTATTAATTCAAGATATATTCTACAAAATATAGTCTTGTCTTACACAGTTTAGTTACTGAAATAAATTGATCTTTTTCCATAATAGATTATTCTTTTTAACTTAAGGATGTTCAGATATTTTGCTTAAAAGATTCAAAAAGCAATCTCAAATTTCAAAAATGCATCTAAACTGAAACTTGAATGCTTACTGTAAACAAAAAGATGAGACTGTAGCTAAACTCTGACACAAGAGTCAGCTATAAGCTTGGTTCTCAGGGTGTAGCTGTGTTTGTAAAGGATAGATGAGGATTTCACACACTCACACATGCACTCATATAAGCTCTCTGATCAGCGTACACCCTTGGCAAGAGGTTGATGATATAAACCAGTTAACACTGGTATAAAGTGTCGCATGAAACATCCACCAGTTGCCACACTGAGCTCTAAAAGACCCACCCAACCGGAACCCACTGCTGAGCTCCCTTTAACGTCTCTAAGGAGGATTTGAGGTTCCTGTACGCCTGTTCCAAATCGTCGTTTACTATGGTGAGGTCGAAGTAGTGTCCGTACACTCTCTGAATCTTGGCACTCTCATCCACTGTCCTCTTCAGCTCTGTGTCCTGTTGAGAAGAGGCAGACTCAGATTTTTAGAATGGTCAAAACTAGAGTATACTAGTATATAGCTACTGAGTGGGACTTAAACGTACTGTTTTCCGTTTGGTCACTCCTGCCTCCAGCCCAGGTCTGTTCATGGCCTTCAGCACCTCAAACTCAGGGGCTTTGATGAACACCACATACGGCAAAAACTCTGATGTCCTGAGGACTTTTAGGGCCTATGGCAAAAAAAATCAGAATCAAAGTGTTTTTCATGAAATACTACAAAACAGCATCACATGCATATGAAATCTGATGGATGTTGATCTTGTCCTTAGTTAGAGAGTCCCTTACCTGTGGGTTGACGTCCAGGATACAGATGCGTCCAGCTTCCACTACTTCATGGATGGAGTCAGTCTTGGTGCCATAGAGGTTACCATCATATTCACCATGTTCAAGATAGCGGCCAGCTTTAATATCAGCCTCCATCTTACTCCGGGATGTGAAGGCATAGATCATATTCTCTCTATCTGCTGATTTGGGCTTCCTAGAGGTGTCTGTGGACAGTTACATAAGAACAGCCCAGATGATTCATTATTTTGTATTTATTAACAGATTAGCACTACATTTTTATTGTGTCCAAAAAAAATCTCTCACACTAAAGGGAAGAAATATTTACATCAGGTCATGATCATGAATGAGTCTGAACCCCCGTAAGAGTGAAAACTGTGCTTGATACACCTAGAGAGGACTCACAGGGGATGGTGGTGCCGTAGTGCTGAGGGTCTGACACTAGCAACTTATTCTTCAGACTTCGTCTGCCTACTCCAGGTGCACCAATCAGAACCAGTGTCTTCCTGCGAAACGGTGGGACTTTTGCCACCTCCTCATAGATCAGTAATTCATGCCTGTCAAAATCTGACAAGGAATAGAAAAGAAAGAATGAAGGATTGGAAAACAGAAAAGACATGCCGTTTCAAAAGACATGCATTTAATTAAAAAGAAAAACAAACCTGCATTTTTTGTAGTTAAATACATCATTTTCTTCTTCTTCTTGCCAACCATTCCAGTGCAGAGATTGGCTGTAATACACAGTGATATTATTTTTGACAAATATTTACAGCATTATTGAACTTTTAACAAAGTTTGCATCTTAACTGTTTGCACTGCTTTATGAACGTTTGATTTGAGGATTAGACATCGTTAATGTTCATATTAAATCCACCAGGGGGCGGTATGCACAAATCAACCATTCAATAGGGCAGGCTCAAAAAAAACAATTGAAAGAATTTGAAAAAACAAGAATTAATACTTTTATTCAGCAAGGATGCATTAAATTGATCAAAAGTGATAGTAAAGAAATGTATAATGTTACAAAAAAAAATTCAAATAAATGCTGTTCTTTTAACATTTTTATTTAAAGTCCGGGGGGAAAAAAATCAGGATTACACCGTTTCCACAATAATATTAGGTAAGTACCTGCTGGTGAAAGGTCAACATCTTTCTTCACAAAAGCTTTCCTCTTCTCCTCCAGAAGTTGACTGGGAATCAGGCCAGCACTGCCTCCTTCTACACGACGTGCCTGTGGAGATATCATGTACAAACAAGTCAATGAGCATATTTTTAGTTTGTTATAATTTTACCAGGCTGATCAACTTTTATAAAGAGATCTTTATATTTGAACTAAAAAGCAGACGTGACTTTAGGTCCTCAAAAAAGGTAAATGAACACGTCGTTTTGGCACAAAGACACTGTAGTGCTTCTAAGTTGACCGACCAACCTGCCACCAGTTCACATCTTCCTGGTTAACAATCTGCAGAATGTCTCCACTTGAGACCTTTAGTCCCGCCTCCTTGCAAGGGATGAGGTTGTCATCGGCAGGGTCATAATCAAAATGGCACTTCACAAAAACCTGTAGAGACAAGGATAATCGTGATCCTGACTGAAATATAGTTTG